AAAGCTATGACAAAAGCAATCTGAGAAACTGGTCCTCAGATGCAATGGCAATCGTGGTGGAGGGACTAAGGGAACAGAACAGAGAAATAGGGCTAGAGGAATCCATAGTTCCCAAGGTCAGTTTCTAGGTGAAGGTGAGTGAGTATGCCTTAATATAAGTGTGGGTTGAATACAATGATGCCACCTTGGTGCTGTGTCATACAGTAGCTTTAAATGCTTGGGACAAGACTGAAGAAGCAGGAAAAAGATCTGAACCAAAGGTCCAAAGGAAGCATTCACTGATCTTTTTTCTTTCTTTCTTTTTCTTTTCTTTTTTTTTTTTAACTACAAAGATTGACTTCAGCTGTAAATACAAGAGTATCAGATTCAGAAGTTAGGCAAGTATTAATCAAAGCTTTGGCTTTCGAAAATGCCGATTCTTCCGGGCAGTGGTGGCGCACACCTTTAATCCCAGCACTCGGGAGGCAGAGGCAGGCGGATCTCTGTGAGTTCGACCAGCCTGGTCTACAAGTGCTAGTTTCAGGACAGGCCCCAAACCCACAGAAAAACCCTTCCTAAAAAAAAAAAAAAAAAACAAACAAACAAAAAAAAAAAAAAAAAAAGAAAAGAAGAAAAAAAAAAAAGAAAATGCCGATTCTGAGCACAAAAAGGCAAGAGCAGCACCAACAGATGAATGGATTGAAAAATGGCTGATATTGGATTTCATACTTACGATGCAACTTTAGTAGAAGTAATCTCTAAAGGCTTTGAGAAAAGCCAAACTGTCTTGGCTGTGACAAGCAAGGTCATTTCAAAAGGGTTTGTAGGCAAGTCATTCCTAGAAACAATGTTTTTTCTAGAGATAATTTAAAAAGAAGGTCCAGTATTCTGCAGTATGCAAAAGGTGTGACAAAGGATGGCATTGGACTAATGATTGCAGATCAACAGGGACAGACAAGGCGAAATCCCCCGGGGCGGAGGGGGGGTGCTCTCTTTGGTCATTTCAGGTCAGCAGCAGAGAAACCACAGAGCAATTAAACAGCACTGTTCTGATAGCCATTAATAACCCAGATATCAAAGTCATAGCATCTTCAGGAGGTAGTACAGAAAACTCAGGAGAGAACAGAAAACAAGTATTTAGGCAACCTGCTATAGATGATCAGAGGTCAAGACTAAAAGCCGAGATGGCCCAGCCTCATAGACTACTCCAGCCAGGGCTTCAGCTGAGCACTGAGCTTTCCCACCACACAGAGACAACAAATGATACATATAGCTCTCCCAAGACTTGACCATTATCCTAATTTTTTTCAGGGTCTCCTAAAGATGCTGTCTCCTCCCACACAAAGGAAGCAATTTTAAGAACATGATGCCCACATTCCCAAAGGTGGGATGGGTGATTTTTGGTCATTTGGTGGGTTATGGGTGTTTATCATTGTTAAGGGGGGGTTAGTTGCCGGTTGTTATTGGTGATAGAGAGGAAACTAAGCAAAGAAGATTAGGTTAAGAGATCTCTTTCTATTTCCTCTAACCTTCTTTCTTTTCTATCTACTGTTGGGGTAGAAAGGAAGGAAAAGGGATGAAAAGAAAGAAGGAATACAGGAATGATAGGATATAAGGGTAGATTATTGAATCTATTTTTAAATTAAAAAGCAACTACTACTCTCAAATATTTTATACTATGGATTTTTGTATATTGATACAAATTTAAGGTCATTTTTGTTACAGCATACTATATATGTGTTTCTACTCTTGTTTAAGATATTGTACCTATACACTTTTGGGGGTCTTGAGTACCAGTCTCAGGACCCACTCAGGGCTCAATAAAAGGATGTCTATGGCAAAGAGGGATCTGAGGGTAAAAAATTAACTCAAGCTCGTTACCTCTGCATGTTCTTTATTTTTCAGGTGAGGGGAAAAAGTGAAGTGAAACCTTTTATTGGACCACAGCGGGGAGATGCTGGGTTAATATTTTGTACACTTGTGGATTTGTGTACATGCTTAAGGCACCTTCTGATGGGTTTAATAAAGAGCTTAAGGGCCAATTACTAGGCAGGAGAGAACAGGCAGGACTTCTGAGGAAAGATAGGAACTCTTGGAAAGAATCAGAGGCTCAGAAAACTCACCAGCCAGATGCAGAGGAAGTCGGACATATGGCATTGAGAAGTAACAAGCCATGTGGCAGAATGTAGATTAATATAAATACATTCTAAGAGCTAGTTGAGAACAAACCTAAACTAAGGCCAAGCTTTCATAATTAATAAAAAGTTTTGTGTCATTATTCAGGAGCTGTTAATCCAAAGAAAGACCCATCATAGCACACTTATGACAGATGACCCTTAAAAACCCAAAGCTGGTGACTGGAGAGATGGCTCAGAGGTTAAGAGCACTGAAGCTTCTTCCAGAGGTCCTGAGTTCAATTCCCAGTATCCACATGGTGGATCACAACCATCCATAATGAGATCTGGTGCCTTCTTCTGGCATGCAGGCAGACATGCAGGCAAAATACTATATACACAATAAGTAAATAAACATTAAAAAGTAAACAAATGTAAATTAAAAAAAACTGCAAAGCTAAGTCAGAGACGCCAGATGAGATCTATTACTATCCCACTTACATGAAATCCTAGAATTATGTAGGCAGTTGAACTCCTGCAAACTCTTGTCTCAGTCTTGGGGGTGCTGGAACCACAGGTGTGAGCCACTGTACCCACACAGTTAGAGTGAGCCATGTAGTTAGAGTGAGCCATATAGTTGCTACTTTAAAACTACAATTTGAGATAGGGTCTTAGAGTGTAGTACCAGATAGCTTAGAAACTCTGTAGACCACAGTGGCCTCACTTGCCTCTGCCTCCTGAGCAGTGGGGTTAAAAAGCATTTGCCACTATGTGTTGACTGAGGTTTTCTGTCCCACCAGGTCCCACAGCTGTTTAGCCCCAAAGAAATCACACAGAGGTCTACATTTGTTATAAACTGATTGGCCCATTAGCTCAGGCTTCTAATTAACTAACTCTTATGACTTACATTAGCCCATAATTCTTGTCTGAGTTAGCCTCCTGGGTTGGTACCTTTTTTTGGTGAGGCAGTCACATCTTGCTTCCTCTGAGGCTGGACCACAACTGCTTAATCCTCTTCCCAGAATTATCCAGTTCTAATTGACCTGCCTCTACTTCCTGCCTGGTTGTCCCACCTATACTTCCTGCCTGGCTACCGGCCAATCAGTATTTTATTAAATAAGCACAATAAACAAATGTTTACAGGGTAAAACCAGTTCCACAGCAACTATGCCCATTGTTTTTTTGTTTTGTTTAGTTTTGTTTTGTTTTTGTTTTTGATAGGGCTCTAAGGCAGCCCAGGCTGGCCTCAAACTTGCTATGAGTAGTTGTGAATGGCCTTGAACTTCCAACCCTCCCATCTCCTCAAGATACTGGACTTACAGGTGTGTACCACCACACCCAAAAATTGCATATATTTTGCTTACTTGTTGGGCTTTTTTTGTTTTATGTATATGGTGTTTTGTTTGTCTGTCTGTGCACTATGTGTATTGTGTGCAGTGCCCACAGTGGCCAGAAGGAGGGATCAGATCCTGGGATTTGGAGTTACAGATGGCTGCAGGTGTTGGGAATCGAACTTGGGTCCTCTGCAAGAGCAGTCAACTGCTGACCTATCTCTCCTGTCCCTTTGTTTTGTTTTTCGAGACAGGGTCTCCTTCTGCAATTCAGTCAGGCCTGAGACTCCTGTAACCTAGCCTCACCCTAAACTGCTGAGATTATAGGTGTGAGCCACCATCTCCTATTAAGGTGTATATTTTGAATAAGTCAATTGTAGGTAGATTATTTTTTATAAAGCTTTTAAAAACATTCTCTATTGCATCTCTGAACAACACAATTTGGACCAAAATACTCCATTCTTTTTGAGTGCCAGACTTCACGCCTTCTTTGAGACCTAAAGAGATAATTTAGAAAAAGATAGGAAATTCTTTAGGTAATGGGTTTCTGGCCTTCTTGATGCCAGTTTTTTTTTTTCCCTTCTGTGGCATCCAGGGGCAATGCACCTGGGGATATTGGGACAGAGCAGAATGCATCCTTTAACAAGGTAATTCTGAGCCAGGTGTGGAAGTACACACCTGTAATCCCAGCACTAGAGGCAGCAAATGAGACACGAGGTGAAGACAGGAGGATTGTGGCTCCCGGGAAGCCATGGCTACATAACGAGTTTCTGAGAGGCATAAGCCACAGAATGAAACCCTGTCAGAAAGGGGGGGGTGGTCCTCTGCACTTCAGTGCATGCTGGGATCCGTTCTAGGCGTCCCACATGGGCTAATTCATGGGAACTCCACAGTTACACTGTAGGTAGGCAGTCTCACTACCTCGGTTACAGGAAAGGAAATTAAGACCCGGAGATATAAATTAACCGACCTAGAATGACCTAGCGGGTGCTCAAACCATGCCACCTTCTCCCTGTTACACACCCACAAGCTTGGCTCCACTGAAGGTAAGAATCTCTTCCTGCTCCCTACTGCCAGCTGGGCATTCAAACCCCCAATTCAATCTTCACTTTCCTGGGGAAGGTTCTCAGTGAGCCTCTCCTATTAGAAGAAGCAGCTGTGAATAACCCTCAACTTCCCCACAAATGAGAAACACAACCATCCTGGGCGCACAAACACGACCGGCTGCTGACCCTGCCTGCTCCTGAGCTTTGCTTACACACCACCTTCCTCCCCAGCCCACGAGGGTACTCTCCGGGACCTGGGATGGGTCCCGAAGCAAACGTGCTGGAAGAACCCTCAGCATCACATCTCTGAGTAGATCACTGAGAGGTGACTATAGGCGTTGAGAATGGGGCGGGGGACAACCCCTACCCTAGGGTTTGGGAGGAACCTCAATCCCCACCCACCACCCATACACCCCGAGGGTTATTTTTCCTGTCTCAGTTTGGAGACCTCCAGTGCTGGAGAAACTCTAAAAAAAAAAAAAAAAAAAAAACTGCCCACTGGGGGACTGGTCCCTGAGAGATGCTGCCATCCCACCAACCAGAGACTCCACGCCAGTCTCCGCTAGTTAGCTCCAGAGACTCGTTCACCCTGAGCATCTACCCACGGATAGCATCCCCAGCCCAGGAGTTCCACTCTCAGACCCGAGCATTGACTGCACTAAGAGCAACCCAAGGGCCACATTTCCTCTCTTGCTTTCTGTCATGAAATTGTGACTAATAATGCATTTACTTATTCTCCCACTTAAAAAGCTGTTTAAATTCTTTGAAGAATCTTGCAAGGTAGCTTGGCTAGACAGCAGGCGGGACAGTCCAGTGCCTCCGGCGGGGAGGCGAGGGTCTTCCATTCTCCTAACTTTTGGTCCAGCAAGTAAGCATTAGGATTGATGGTGTAGTCCTTTGTCTGGAAGTCGCTGGCCGTGGTGACACCCCCACACACAAATACCTTGTTGTCTCCAATGGAGCAGATAGCGTGGGACACATCCAAGGGACAGTTGTTGGGCAACAGAGGCACTGAGGTCGTTGACTTGTTGGCCTTTATCTTTTGTAAGTTGATTTCCACGCTCTGCCGGTGGCTGTGCACACGGAGGATGTTGTCTTGATGGAAAGAGAGCAGAGGCCGGTGGTTGAATTCAATGGGGAAAGTGATACACTGGACCACTTCCCCTGTGTTGGTGTCAAAGCAGTCCACTACACCCACCCGGGAGATGTAGCCCTTCACCAGGCATCGGCCAGTGACAATGTACAGGTTCCGGTCACCCTTGGTGATCACTGCTGTACCATCCATAGGGATGCTCATTTTCCCTGCCAGGCACCAGGCTTCCTTTCGCTCATCATAGCGATAGATGTTGGAGACATACCTGCGTGGGGCAATGCTCCCACCCACTGAGTACACTGTTCCCCCACAGGTCACCATGGTGTGGAAGACAAGCCCAATGGGTAGGTCAGGCAGCTTGGTCCAGGAGTTATCATCCATGTCATAGCGCCACGCCGTCTTTAGTCCTGAAATCTGCTCAGTGGTGCCACCGGAGATGTAGATGTAACGGCCGGCAGCAGTTGCGCTCAGCGCCGCGGCTCGGTAGGGCATCTCTGAGAGCTTCAGCCACAAGTTCTCCTGGATGATATACGCAAACACTCCATCGTTGAACTTGCCCTGGGCCTTTTGGCCACCAAGAATGACCACTGAGTCAAGCAGGGCCCCTTTCCGCTGATAGGTCAGCAGGCTGCATGGCCGCTCCTGCTTGCGGTCCATTAGGACGCTCTCGATCAAGGTCGCGTGGACGGAGCTGTTCTCCAAACTCGTCAGCTTATTGCTGGCAAACATCAATGTCTTGTTGGAGACGGCATTGAGATTGATGTAATTGAAGAACTTCTTGAAGTATTTTTCCCGTTCCTCCTTCCGGAAGTACACCCAATTGATGAGGGCACTGAGAGCCTGGTCCTCGTTAAGCACGTGAAGGTTTTCATCACGGAGCAGGCGGCCAAAGATGACGGGTGGGCAGCGCATGAAGTGCATAGAGCCCTCGGGGCTGGCCCAGAAGTGGAAGTTGTCACGAATGCCGGAGTAGGCCAAGTCTGACACTTCTTTGAGCTCGAACAGCTCAGCCAAGAAGAGGTAGCGCAAGCAGTTGGCACGTCGAATGGACTTAATAAGGAAGTCATTGCAGTGAATCCGGAGGCGTGGGGTGTTGAAATACTGAGCGCCCCGAAGAAGCTCCTCCACATTCTGCTCTGAGATCACCACTTTGCCGCTGTAGAAGTAGTCCAGGAGCTGGTCCACCGTGCCTGGACTCAGGTATTTGGGGTCAATGGTGAGGAAGAGCTCGTCGGTGGTCTTCATGTCATTGCTGGAGATGAGACTTTTCACCAGCGGCGAGACGGCAGCCAGCACGTTGCGATGGGCGAAGAAGACGTGGTGGTCCACAGTCAGGGCCATGTCCCAGTACTCTTTGCGCTTCCTCTGTTTGTTCAAGTTCTGCAGCACAAAGCTGTTGTAGTTTTTCTCTGTGAATTCCAATTTCATGCTGCTTCTCGTTGGCTGAGACAGAGTTCAGTAGCCAGTACTGGAGGGCAGACTTTTTCAGGCCTTTGGGATTTGGACTGATGGTTGTTTGCAGAGCAGCTGACCAGAGAGGAGGGGGTGGGGTGGGAGGGAGGGTGATGTCATAGAATGGGTGAGGTCATCATAATGCAGCCCCCCCACCCCCATCCCCAGGCCCTTTGTCAGAGGCACGAAGCCTTTCTCGCCTTAGAGGACTCCAGCCTGCCGAGGCCTTAAGGACCTAGTTCAGGCCAAAGTTCAGGGACTGAACCACGGTGTGTGCAGGGGTCTTTCAAGCAGCAGTTCAAGGTTTCACCAGGAATGTCTGGGCTGGTTTGGGTGGGGCAGGAGGCCGCTGTGCTCAGCGGAGATACTGGGAGGGGAGGAGAAGAGGTTACCTTTATCTAGAAGCCTCCCCTTTCACCAGGGAGGTTGGAGTCGTGACGAAGGGACTTCCCAGTGTCACCGAGGCAACTGCAGGCAGCGCAGGCCTAGAACTCCAGCTGAGTGTAGGGCACCGCCCGTCCTCGCCCCCTTCCACGAAGCCGGGACAGCCCACTTTACACGTTCTGGTTCTTAGACCCAAAGGCTCTTTTTCTGCCAAGTTCTTGGGCATCTGAGAAGACAAATCCTTGGCTTCTAGGCTTTTGTAGTCAGGACACCATTTTCGTTCAACATTGAGAGGTGGGTGACGCTCAGTGGAGCAGAAACGGAGACGGCAGCCAGCACCAGGAAGATGGGAGGGCTTGGAAACCGCCTGTTCCAGATTTCTCAGTATCTAGTAAAATGCCGAACCAGTGCCTGGCTGGTTCTCTCCATCCAGAGTTACTTTGACAAGTTCGCTCGGGCCTCTGACTCCTTTTCTGTGAGATGGGAATAAATAACTGTGCAGCAGTAGGCACGGTGTTTAGCTCGCAGCAAACGTTCAAATAAATGCAAGCTGCTGTTTCTTAGCTGTTTTTGCCGCCGCTGATGGACGCTGGTGGGAGGCTGTGGGCGTCCGCAGAGCTACGGGCGGGTTGCAGGAGCCTCCTGTGGCCGCACGGTGGGGCTGCAGTGTCACCTCCCGGCAGGGAGCAGCTCGCTCTCGCGCTCAGCAGCCCCAACCGCTTTACACGAAGGAAACCCGACGCTGGAATTTCTTTCTGCCTCTTTGTCGCTCCTGGGGCTCCTTGGTGTGCGAGCGACTCGGAAACGCACGCGTCTGGACCCAGGGCTCACAGTCAGGCAGACCTACACCTATTCTCATTTCCCAGATGTGGACAGAGCCTAGACGAGATGCTTGGCCGCTAAAGAACAGCCTTGCCGCTTAATGCCCTTGTGCTGGTCAAGGAGGACCTGGCTCAGACCCTGATGTCCACTCTGGGCTCTAAACCCTACTCCAAACCTTTAGGTCCTCCTGAGTGCTCCTCTCAGGGAGACTGCCAGCTTCATCCCGACCCCTCCCCAGCCATTCTCTGGTTGGCTTTGATTCTCATTCATCTTTTCATTCAAAACCGAGCCTTTTCTTTATTCGGGGAGCTTGGTAATTTGAAATTTATTTTTAAAACAATTACTCTTGAATATTGAAGTTACTCATCTTGATGCCTGATGTCTGGGGAAGATAGTCTCTCTGGCTGCGGTGCCAGAGAAAGGCTCAGAACTTCTGTCTCCCTCTTTGGAGGAATCTTTAGGTTCCAGTCCCATTCCAGAGAATTCCCTGTGTGGCTCAGCTCAGTTCATCACGGTCCAGTCTCTCTCCCTCTCCCTGGGAGTTTTTCAGCGCTGCATGCCTCCCCAGCTCTCGTCACCTGAGAAGCAGTGGCCACTTGGCTGGAGGAAGCATCATGATGCTGCTAAGGATGCTTGACTCCCACCAGCATCCCAGCCAGCGTTCAGACCCCACTTGCTGGGACATTTACCAGAAGCAGAAGATCAACAGACCTCTGAGCACCAGGACAAGAAGGCGTGCACTCACTGTGTGCCTCCAGCCAGAGATCATCGCTGGTCCGGGAGGACCTGACAGACCTGACATCTGAGTATTGGACAGGAGAGGCTTGCTCAGCTCCAATTCAGCTGCCATGCACTCTGATCTTAATTGCAGAGCTTGCTGTCCTCAACAAACTCAAGAAAGAAAGCTCAGAATCCCTGTTGCTTGGCAGGCAGAGGCAGGAGGGTCTCTGAGCTCAGGAGTTTAGAACTGCCTGGGTAACATAGACCTTAAAACAAGTGGGGTATGGTGGTCCAGGAGACTGAGGAGGGAGGATCATCAATTCAGGCCAGCATCGGCAATGTAATAGACTGTCTCAGAGTTAAAAATTTATAAAGGAAATAGTTTATTAAACTGTTCTGGGATATAGCTCAGTGGACAGAATGCCTTCTATACACTCACTGGAGCAGGCAGGACAGCCTGCGTTTGATCCCTAGAACCACATAAACTAGGTATGGTGGCACATGCCTGTCACTTAAGCAGGATTAAGAGATAGAAATAGGTGGGGCAGTGGTGGTGCACGTCTTTAATCAAGCACTCAGGAAGCAGAGGCAGGTGGATCTCTGTGAGTTTGAGGACACCCTGGCCTACAAAGCAAGTTCTAGGACGGACTCCAAATCTACACAGAAAAACCCTGTCTCGAAACAACCAAAAAAGAAAAAAAAGAAAAGAAATAAGAAAGAGGAGGATTGGGAGTTCAAGGTCACCCTTAGCTATGTAGTCTTGAGTTCTAGACCAGCTTGAACTACTTGAGATTTGGAAGAGGTTGTGTGGTATTGAGGTGACTGCAGGTAAAATGCTTACCCAGCAAGCCTGGCCCCCAATCCAATTCTTGGAACCCACATAAAAGGTGAAAGAACACAAGTAACTCTACGAAATTGTTCTTACACACACACACACACACACACACACACACACACAGAGTTTTGCTTAGAGACAGGGCATTTTGGTTGACCTGGATGCATCTAGGAAGAGGGAATCTTAATTGAGAAAATATCACCATTGGATTGGCCTGTATGCCAGTATGGGAGGTGTTGCCTTGACTGGTGATTGATGTGGGAAGGCCCATCCCCCTGTGGTTGGTGCCAACCTTTGGCAGGTGGTTCTGGATGGTATAAGAAAACAGGCTGAGCAAGCCCGTCCACAGCATTCCTCCATAGACTCTCCTTTAGTTTCTGCCTCCTGGTTCCTTCTCTGCTTGAGTTCCTGCCCTGACTTCCTTCAGTGATGGACTGTTTGTTACCTAAAAGTGTAAGATTATATAAACCCTTTTCTCCCCAAGTGCTTTTGATCATGGTGTTTAATCACGGTGCTAAAAACACTAAGATACAGGGTCTCTTTATGAAGCCCTGGCTGTCCTGGAACTTGCTAGGTAGATGAGGCTGGCCTCGAACTCCCAGAGAACTGCCTGTGTTTGTCTCTGTGCACCTCCACGCCTGGCTAATGAAACATTCTTTTTAAAATTTAAGAAGGAATGAACTGAGGCGGAACTGCCAGTCTGAGGCCAGCCTAGTCTACATAGCAAGGGCTAGTCCAGCTATACTCTGGGAGACTGGGTGTGCCCCTGTCCATCTGTTCAGCCAGCAGCACTGCCTGGCTCTACTCCAGTCCTGGAAAGCAGCTTTTTCCTTAGTCTCAACCGACGGTGGAAACAGACTCCAGCTTAGAGACCGGCTTCCTTCCAGCTTCCATCACCTGGTGATGTCTCTGCTGGTGTCCTAGGAGTCACCAGGAAGACACTGGCTGTTGTTTGGTGCAGCCAGAAAAGGTCCCCTTCCCGATCTATTCCGCTCACCCTCTCTTCCTGCCCAGCTCAGAATTTTTCATATCTGGGAAATTCCTGGGGAGGAGACCCTAATATTCAACCCTTATAGATTGATATCATCAAATTACAAATTCTTAACCAAGGGCATTTTCAAAGATATACAGATTTACCAGTAGGAAGGTCAGGATAGCATCTCACAATCTACTCTTCTTACACGTCTGTCTTCGAAGCTGGGGGTGGGAGGGTAGGGAGTGGGGTGGGGCTTTGAAGCCAGTGCAAGCCAGAATCTGCCTTCCTTTTTCTTTTTAAAACAGGACCTCACTAAATTGTCAGGATTGTCCTTGAAATTTCTGATCCCGTCTCGTCTCCGTTTCCAGAGGAGTTAGGATTCCAGGCTTGTGCCTCTAGGCCAGGCTCACCTGTCCTTACCATTAATAACTGAACTGCAAATAGCTTAAATTTGCTGGGGCTCTGTTTGAAACTCCCTTATGTTTCCAGTTTCACCATGTGCTTGAGCTCAAATTCCTCGCGCCTAGGGCTGTTTGCCCTCAGAGCTAGGAGGTTACACACTTCCATAGTGACTATTTTAGCCCCTCTGGGGAGGGGCTGGGAAGGTGGAGTGGTTCAAGATGGATTCAGAGTCCTGAATTACCTCAGCCATAAACTAAAAGCATTAGAGGAAGAAATTACACAAAAGGAAAGGATTTTATTGTCTCGTTAGTTGATATCCCTGGATGAACCAAATGGCACAGTGTGAGACTGTTCACAGTCAAACAAAGACCGGCAGCCTCGGTCTGTCCTTAGGTCAATAACCCCTTCCTCCAACCCTTCCATTGGCAGAAGGAGATGAGGTAATTTCAGAGACACTCAACTGGACCTCTGGCTTGGTCCCTCCTGAAAGGACCTGGTTAAACTTGGTATAATTTGAGGCAAAATGCAAAATTAAATTGGCGTTCCTAATCTTCCTGTTTGGGCCTCCTCCTGGGAGTATTTGGGCTGGTCATACATTCCAGGAGGGAGCCGCAGCTCAGCTGCAGCTACAGCTGCCCTGGACAAGCCTCGTTGGTTACCGCCTCCTGGGTTGGGGAAGGACAGAGGCTGTGGGGTTTCCTCTAGGGCCCCCAAGTGACCTCACCCTCACCCCTACACCACTGACTTCATAGTCCAAGACCTTGGCCAAAAGCCCAGGCCATGTGAGGGTCCAGTGAGATGAGGTTGGGGGGTAGGGCTGTATTCCAGACCTAGCCCCGCCCCCAGAAGCCAGAAGTAGTGCTGTAAGCCCTGAAATTTAAGAGCTGTGAAAGGCACTAGTGGCTGTGGCATTTGCTCTTTAAAGGGTAAAAACTCATAGGAAGTAAGGGTTTGTTTTTCCTTCTCCTTTGGCAATTCCATTAGGGAATCCCAGCGGGTGTGGGATGATAGTATGTCTTCCAGCCAGAACGAGCAATCTCAGTAACTCTGTGGAATGGAACTGGTCACGCCTCTCTAATGCAAGCTGCTTTATGTCACATTTAAAGGAAGTTTTTAATACTCTTCAAAAATCTACCAAAAGGAGATTACAGCGCAGGAAGTTCCCATCAAACGACCTTACTTCTCAGCATGGTAAATATTCAGGATACACAAAGTCCGAGGATAGATATCAGAAGTAAGAGATACACAAAAGAAGTCTGCTTAAAAGCTAACAGTAAAAAGATGTCAGGATTGATCTCACCCAAATCTAAGTAACTGTGGTCTAGGTAACCCTCGGGATAAACGCTTCGGATGTCCATCCTTTAACCAGGATGAGCTCATGGCCAGCCGCCTATAGTGTGTGCACAGTACGCCCCAGGGGCAGACCCTCGGCTGGCTCTTTGTTGTTCTGTGGGCACTTCGTATGTGTGTCTCCAGCTTCTCGTGACATCTGGTGAGCTACTTCTTTGGAGGTGGGACATTTTCTTCGAAGTAGCCCTGGTTGACGACATTCCCCGCAGGAAAGTATCTGGCCACCACAAAGGAGGAGCCGTCGCTCGCCGATGCCTTCCCCACGCCTATCTTCTTTGTATTCTTCCACACCATGGCCGTGAAATGTCCTGTGGGAAGGCAAGGGAGGCGCAATGAGCGGTGAGCCGAACCCTGAAGAGGATGCTTAGGGACCCTCAAACCCTGCATGCTCTTGTCCGGCTCAGATAATTAGATACTCGCCCGGTCATGAAGAAGAAACAAAGCACACGGCTGCACATGTCAATCAATCCCACAGACCTCAGCTACCTCAGCACTTGCTCACAGTCTCGCTGAGGTCACGGCAAAGCACAGTGGTCCCAGTACCTGTGACCTCAGCTTCTGGGCACCAGCCCTCAGGGGCGCCC